GGGCGGCGTGAGTGAGGCGGCGTGCGAGTACTTGGGCGCAAGACTTGGAGCTTCTAGAGGTTCTTGAAGTGCAAGACAAGTAATTAGAAGATCTAGTAGATTTAGGAATTAATGGTAGTAGGATATTTACTAGCCTTAGGATTTAATATTTAATTATTTTAATAGTTTCCTAGTAAGATTAGAATTAGAGATAGTTGGTACCTATAAATACCCCATGTACCTCATCATTATTTTATGTCTTGAATTGAGTATTGAATTGGTGAGCCAATTGAGGGGAACTTATGTTCTAATGTGTGTTAAACAAGGCCGTCAGTGCGTGTTTACATACAGTGTCGGAGAGAAGGCCCTGAGAGCGTCTCAAAGTCACAGTGTCTAGGAGAAGGCCGATAGTGCGTCTGTTAGATACACCTATCGTGGATAATTGAAGGCCCTGAGTGCGCCGTTTGTTCACAACCCGTATAGACAGAAATTCGATCCGTCATCATTGGTGCTTTCATTGAGAGGTGATGATCGTGTCTTTATCTATCCTATCTTTTATTTTTTTTCGTTTTGCCTTTTGCTGAGGGGCCGAATTTCTCTTTATTTCTTGTTGGGGTTCGAATTTTTTGGTTCGAATTTTCCCTTTTTATTTTCGAAATTTTGTCTTAAAAAAAAAGTGTCAACTTGTTAGTCCTTTGTTGATTTTTGTTTGGTTATTACCTTTTGTCGAGGGGCCGAATTTCTCTTTGTTTTATTTTTATTTTTGGTTCGAATTTTTATTCGAAATTTTTATAGAGTCTAAAAAAAAAAAAGAGAGAAAATCATGATGTTTGAGCCATTAGATGAGTGGGATCAAGAGGATCTTGAATATTTGGCAGGATTGGAGAGGGAATTAACCTCTTGGGAGCGAGAGTATTTGGAGGAGATGTACGAGCAAAAGGAGAAGTATCAAAGACAACTAAGGGTCATGAAGGAGTTCATCGAAGAAGAGCCGTTGTTTAAGTTCGATCTACCGGGCTATGTTGAAGACAGGGCGGTCGAGTGTGAGGTCAACCAAGTCGAGTACGAGGAATCAACATGCGTCGACAAGTTCATGGACGAGTACAAAGAGGGTGAAGCGGCGCACATCGACGGTGAGGTCGAAGAATCCGAAGACGCCGAGGTCAAGGAGGTGATTTGGGTCGTGGGCGATGGAGGCTATGATGAGGTGACGAACG